TATATAGTATATTAAAAAAATATATCTACGTCCAATTACAAATTAATAATTCATTATTTGTACTATGATTTCTTGATGGGATTACACTGTCATCAGAGTATTTTAGCCATTACCTGTCCATTGCTGAACATAGGCCGTCTCCATAAGGGAGGTTTTGTCAGTAGCTTGCGATTGCCATCTCATCTGCTCGCTTGGCAGACGAAATGGCAACTACAGTTAAACTAGAAGTTAAACAAGAAAAGGAAGGAGAAGAGAGACGCTGCTTAGTCGCCTCTTAAGACACTCACAGGAAAGAAAGGGGTAGTCCATTCTATGTCAGAACCACACAGCGGGATTCCAATATATTAATTATATAATATTACTAGTTGCTCGCCCTGGCTTCATACTGGTTTACTCTTCGTACGATTCTTTAAATGTAACTTAAAAAATATTTTAATAAAGTTATTTGTTCCACTGTCTTTACTCATTCATTCAGTATGCTGTTTTTTTTATTTTTATTGCAATTAAAAACATCCTTTTTAATCCCAAATATTTCACTTTAATAATAGCAACATTCAAGTTTAATCTATGTAGATTAAAAAAAAAAGTATATTGAGCCTAGATATTTTACGAAAAAGACTTTATTTAAATTTCATTGAACAAAGTACTTTATTCAGGAATGGGACCTAAATATTAAACGCATGCCCATCAGGTGGTCCATTTGTCGTGCACCGCGAGAGTAGAAACTAATTATCGAACATTGATTTACATCACAAATATGTTTGACAATCTGAACCCGGTAGGCGAGACGTGCACCGTACGTTCCCCACACCAGCTTCTGTTAAGGCGTAGCTTGTTACTCTTGCAGGTCTATTTATTTTAATGTTTTTAAGTTGAGGCTCCCTTTTGGGCAAAAGAAATTGCTAGTGAGATACGTTCTCTCCTACTGGAGGTTGGGAAGCATGAGTATCAAGGGTGGGAAGCTTGTGTTATGTTTTGTATTTGCTTGTTCCTGTTGTAACTGTTGCCAACACTTTTCGATTGAAATATATCGAAAATGGTAGTTATATGAATATATTGTAGATGTATTATTTTACACACACACAATCACTGTTATATTGCTACATAAATAAGGAAAAGAAGAGTAGTTGTTTTACGTATCACTTTTTACACAATTGCCAAAAAAAGAAGTGTAATGGTATCAAGGTTCATATATGTGAATTTCTTTGTTCCACCGTAACTTTTTAATGTCTAAATCAATCTATTGAAATATTCAGAAGTATAAAGATATATGGGATATCATTAAGATATCAATATCGGAGAGTAACCTTTACTTCTTAAAATTAGTTGACGTAATTTTTAATTTTACATTTTATAATATTTATTTTCATAATTATGCTATTATCATAATTATCTTAATTACTCAACTGTATAAGCAATTATGTGTATAAAATGTCTTTTCTAATGTAAAATATCAATAAACTATAATACCAAGGTATTATACATTTGAAATTGTAATTTATTATTGATATGACACGCAAAATGTAATTTATTAATCATATTTACTATATTGAACATTAACGTATTAAAATTTATTAGTTTAATTTTATTTTATTTTATCTTTGACATAAAGTTTGTATAATCTAAATAATCGCCAATATCAGTATGTCCTTATTTAATTGATACATTAAATTTGCATGCCTACTATTTTAAGGCAATTAAATAGATGCCAAAAGATGTCACATCTGTATTGTGCTCAATGTCTGTGTAAAACAAATAAATATTTCATTTCATTTCATAGGATCTCTACATCATCCCAAGTATAACTGGCTATATATTTGTGTTTTTTTTTTGTTTTGACAGGGCAATGCACTATATGTATTTGTAAAAATAAATAAATAAATTCGCTTTCATTTTTGCTAAAAAAAATTGTGTTGTCATATACTTCCCCGATTTATAGATGCTATAGGTCATGAATACAAATCTAGCCAGCACCAAAAACTTAGTGTATCAATTTAATTACTTACATACCCGTGAGAAAAAACACCATTGAAACCGTTGAAACAAATAATATGACAATGGTAGGCTCGCCTACCATTAATAATAATATAATTATAATAATATAATATACCATTAATAATATAATTTATTTGCTGAAAAACATGGTATACAGATGTTAGCAATAATATGTTAGGAACAGGTGTGTTTTGCCAAAACAATGGCATGCAAAATTTTAATATTTATGGTAACTTCTTTTCAAATACTATTAATAAAATATTATTTATGTGCTTATAAAGTGTAATTATTCTTTATATTGTCATTGTCATATTATTTGTTGGATTTAATATGTGTATTATGTTTACCACAATGACAATAGCCCAACAATGTCTGTGTCTACTCCAATGTAGATTACGGTTGCGAGGATATCGTCACGAATTCATTTCTATTAGGACCATCGATCATGAATACCACGTACATGTCCCATCAAAGCATCAATGTAACCGGTTACCGTAAGCTGTAAATATCTGCAACACCAGGTGTATCACGTCGTCACATGCATTGTCGACCCAGAAGATGCCTTTTGTATTAATTTTTTTTAACCAACTTCAAAATATACGAATTTTGCAATGCACGTACGCGCGCCATCATAATTTAGTGTCTTTTTTTTTTGAAAAATCGAAATAAAAGATTGAATATCTTCAATTTCCTAAAAAGTAATATAAATCAGTAATGATTTTCATAAGTATACCAATTTAAATTATTCTTAATGAAATCAAAGGAATACCTTATTTTTATTTTTCTTATATGAATTTTCAGTCGATGATACTTTCTACCGACTTGAAAAAGAAGGAGATTCTTAATTATGCTTTTTTTTATTTGTTACCTCATAACTCATTCAGTTATAAACCGATTCAGATTTTTTTTTATCTGAAAGGAGATACAGATACAGATTGGCCGCAAGATTGGCCACACATACAAATTTTAGCAAAATCGATTTAGAAGTTTAGTCTTTGAATCAAATAAACTAGTTTTGTTTAGTCACAATTGATGTCGGTTTTTTTTTTACACGATTTTAATTATTCTTATTTTAACAATTAATGACGTTAGTTGCATCAACTTATTTTCTAATAAATAATGATTTCATCCTCGCACAACACGTGCTTTTGTATAATATTTGTTAGTGTATCTGTTTGTACTGGTTTGGGTGATTTCTATATACCTGTATTACTTAAGTTTCTATTACAAACTCTACTTAGTTTGGAACTAGATGGCGCTGTCTAATATCTATGTACACTGGGGAGGAAAGGGATTGTTAGTAATGGGGTCTGATTTCCCTAAAACTAACAATACACCCTATCAGCTCGATCTCCACGCGGTTCGCCCTGGAAACTATCGTGATTAATTCTAGGTGGAAATCGTCACGATTGACTAACTGACCTGCTTTTTCATCCTCACCTACCATCCTTCACTGGTACACCTTCACCACCTCGCCAGCGTATACCGATAGCGCAACTCTTGTCAATGAAGCTCTTGCCACTCACTACGATATTCTATGTACAGTGTCATAAAAAAATCTTTTGAACACTGATAAGAGTTCGACCTTTTTTGTCATTTAATGAAATATTTATTTTATATTGATTTTATTATTTCATTTATATATATATATATATATATATATATATATATATATATATATATATATATATATATATATATATATATATATATTATACTAGTCTATGTTACTTTTTATTATGAATATATGAATATAAATACTTCTTAAATCGAAACAGTAGAACGTGTGTTCTTTAGCTTTAGTTATGGTATATATGTAGGTAGTTTTTACCATATCTAGCAGTGAGCGATCCTTGGTGCAGTGACAGACAGGTTATTTTCTTTATTTTAAATTTATTTATTTATACTTTTGCACACATTAAAATATGTCTACAGGGCAGACTTAATACCCGATGGTATTCTCTACCAGTCAACCATTAAGCTAAACAGAGAGAGTAACAGTGAAATTACAGGGTACAGGGGAATAGCAGCTGAGTCCTCAAAAATGGCAACGCATGGGAAGTATCATAGGTAAAATAGTATACTCTGTTATGTCCATAGCACTGCTCATGTCTATAGGCGACGGTTACCACTTTCTATCAGGTGGGCTGTCAGCTTGTTTTCCATTCTAAGTTGCATAAAAAAGAGTATGTGGCAGTGCATTGGTCTAATAAATTTAATTTTGTTGTTGTGCGTAGGTAAGGTCTCGGGTTCGATTCTTGATAGTGATAATTTAGGAAACATACTTTTCAAAAGTTACTTCAGTGTAGGTGTTCTGGATTAATACCCAAAGTGTTAATTATTTCATTTTTATGATACAGCCTATTTGTTCGATCTTTTAGACGATTCAATTGCTTAACCTTTTATCTTTTATATTTAATTGAAAACTAGATAAAAAAATAACCTCTATAAAATACTAATTATGAGCAAAAACGATCATTGAGAAACAGACAAACGGACAAATAATCCCACCTCATAGGACTATTTTTTTTCTTTTAAAATATGGTATCCTCGTAAAAAAATTACCTAAAAGATTTGTTACATAAAACAAATTACCTTTTTGATTCCGTGTTATATATATATATATATATATATATATATATATATATATATATATATATATATATATATATATATTAAATTCATTATATTATAAATATTTATTCATATTTATAATTATTTCACAACATATTTTATAATGTCCGTGTCTATAAGCAACACTATCTCTTTCCATCAAATGCTTCGTTTGCTTGTTTACCATTCTAAATTGCATAAAAAATATAGTCTTTTTTTCCATTTCTAAACTACTATTTACATAATTATCTCTATGTCAGTTATCTTTTATTACCCCTGCCCTTTAGTTTCAGTCAAATAAATCACTCAATAACAATAAGCTTCTACTTAACAAATTAATTATGCATACAGTAGTTACGGCCCATCCAAATATAAATAACAAAAGACACACGGCTTTTGAAAATTCATTTATTTATTATAATTACATATTTTTTACATTTATTTACATATTTCAAAGGTTGCCGAGTAATGTAGCGTGGTTGTTTATTTTAGAAATCGATTTGTAATCACAAAATGTTTGTTCAATTTGTTAGAAAATGTTTGTTTTATAGCATCAGTAAAAAATGTCTTTATGAATGAGAACTGAGATGTAGATATATCATTTTACCTTTTACATTTTACCTAAAAAGTGAGAGCAATATAATCATACACTGTAAAAAGTTTTATACAAACATAATGTAAGTTTAAAACAGTATAAAGATTAGAAACAATACCTTAAACAACATTTCTACCATACATAAAACATGTATACCTGTTTAATAATAGTTTATAGTTTACACATATTACCATATTATATGTATCGTAGGAAAACCTTTTGCTTTTTATTTTATTACATTGCTAATACTTGTATTGATACCAAACAAGTCGCGTACACAATATATTTTACTGAATGTGTTTTGATAGAAACGAAGTGTTATGATGCATATAATTATTATCATTTAATTTTATCAGGTATTTATATATTTCCAAACAAAAATTCCTAAATTTTAATTGTAAATGTCTTATCAACTGTACTCCTAGAAGTAAAATTACGCTACAATTCGGCAAGAATTTTAATAGTGCACTAAACCGTATGTACATTCAATATTTAAAATTGATAATAACCTTAACAATTTAAATATCACGTTATTATAATTATACACTGGCACAAATACAATATTTATATTTTTACAATAAATTAATTTATTTGGTATCGAAAAATGCTTATAATATCACGTTTTTGCATCATTTGTCTTTTGCACACAATCTTTTGTATTTTTATGTCCGTCCCGAATTTATAATGCGACACAAATTATTGTGTACAAATTTGATGCGATTACAAAATAACTATCTATACTTTTGCTCACATTTCTCAATTTGACTTAGAACCTTGCCAATCCTCTCGTGTAATATTTTAGCATTTTTCTCTGGCAATGGCGGCAGAATGTCTCTTATTACAGCATTATTTTTCATATGAAACATATCACTAATTTTTGTCTTTATCGACTGCTGATACAAATTGTTCAAAGCTTCTACAGTCTTTTTTCTAAATACACATAGATTATCTAACATTAAACTATGGTATACATTATATTTTTTTAACAATCTATAACCATGTAACAAACCAGATTCATTGTCTAAAAATAAGAGTAAACCACTATCCATTTTCCTGGCTAAGTTATGTGCTGGCCCATCCATAATGTTTATATTCCACTGGTAATTGAATAAATTGTTAACAATTCTATCTAAATTCGCTGTTAAATAGTCGAAAATAATGAGATCAGACCATTGGGCAAGCTCTACAAAAGATGCAATTGTTTTTTTACTCAATATCATATCAATATACTCAAAGTTATTGGCGGTATTTTTGGTTGATTTAAGATTTTTTGTTTTCAATTTTTCTATTAGGATCTCTTTTGATATCTCAACTGTCTTGTTTTCTTTCAAACACATCTGTAAAACGTCATTTTTATTCAAATGTCTGTTTGATGGTTTGAAAATATCTGGAATACTAGCTGGTTCTAGGCTCGGTATATACTGGGTCAAAACAACAGCTCTGTTAGTATTCCACTGTGCAGAAGCAATGTCGGTAGCTACATTTCTCCATAGCTTATCTTTTAAATCTACAACTTTGACAACAGATGGAGCTAAATTTGTCAAGTTTAATAATCTTCCTACGTAAAAACTAAAGATTTCTCCTTGAATTTGATCTGTGTTCTGTCTGTATCGAACACAAGCTTGAATACCGTCTTTAAATGTAACTAAACGATTTTGCATTCGTCCACAACCTGGCTCTAATTTGATTACTTCGCTTTGCTCCACATACTTTTCCCAAATTTCTGCTGTATTTTCGCCATAACCTTGAGGCATCATGTCTTCCACTTCTGGTCCCCAAAAAACGTTGTCATACAACACGGTATATTCATTAGGAACATAATTCGTTGTATTATTAATAACCTTATTTATTGAATGTTTATGATTAGTTACTTTGTTATCTTTTAAAATATCTTTCATATCCTCTGTTAAACCTTTGGGATAAATATCTTTCTTATATTTATGACTCTCACCAGTAAATGATACAGCAACAAATTTACTATCTCTTGTCTTAACTTTTTCATTTAAATCAATTTTATTTTCAGTCTTATAAAAATTATCATCAAATTTCAAACTATTTAGAGTTCTTGAAGTTACTTCTCTAGTGTTATTTGATCTCATTATTTTTCTATCATAATTTGGATTGAATCGCGTTTGGGATGATCCCATTAATATTACTCCTATTACTAATCCAAATACAAAACTAATAATTACACTTAGAAAACAATAATTGTAAAAACTATAATCTTTTTTCATCATGTTTCTTCTTGATAATTCTTCTCTATATTGAAAATTATTATATAAAATATAATTAGGTTTCTTTATAGCTAAAAATTTCGACAGATCAATGGGAGGTATTTTAATTTTGTTGTCTATGATTGGCTCTTTTTTTATGTCATCTATAGTTGGTATTCTTTCACTGATGTCGCTTTCTTTTTGCAGAGATTTCGTCTCGCCTTGTATGAGATACATGACTGGGTGATTATCCATCGTACTTGTGCTTACTTAGTTGCCATTTTGGATATCTGTAACAAAAGAAATAGTTCTGTTAGCAACAGTAAAAACAGTTATTTTTTTACACAAAAGTAAAGGTTTAAAGTTTTAAAGGTTTCATTTAACATGATATTTTGTCAAAGTTGAAAAATATATTATATTCATAGCACAAGCTATTAAATCCAACTTAATGTGCAAGTAAACGAGGATGTTTTTGCGCGATTTAAATTACATATTCTTTTCAGTCTACTTTACTCATAGATATAGCGTATACTTATAAATAAAGAAACTTGCAAATAAAGTTCCATAATTTATGTTATTATCAACCCCTATGATGGTATATGATTTCATCACCTCAGATTATGTACAGTCTATGCAAAATCAGATTTTCACTGCTAAGAACATGAAGTTTAATTCTTAAATTTATGTTAACATAATTTGGCCCGTTCGACGGTATTTGAACCCATATCCCAGGCTACTCAGGCATGTGTTGTATGCCACGGTAGGAGTACTATTAGTTGGCAGTATTCTTTTTTTGACGTCATTAACTTCGAAGTTACATAACGTACATACGAAGTTTTAATCTGATATATAATCTAATAATATATGATAATAATAAGACTGCAGAATGGCATTCTTTGTACAAAAATAAAAATCAAAGATGTAGGTACAGAATAAAAAGCGATATTAAAAATAGAAGGCATTCAATGAAATTCTGTATTCATTTCAAAACTGCTAATTAAGTGTATTGTGACTAATTCAGAAATATTCGATGATTTTATATATTGTAAAAACGCTTAAAATGACAACAAAGACATGTGGTGTCCATAACCTATAGACATGAACATCACAGAATATCCTCACGCATGTGTTGCCATTCCTGAGGACTGTGGTATTTTGGTGATTGCATTACATCACGATCATATTCCATTCATAACTACGTTTTTTTTTAACAATTTTTTTTTATATCGATGACTCTAGGTTTATTTTTTATTTTAATTATAATAATATTTGCATATTGAAATGTTTCATATAATCGTAGTTTTGACAGCCCGATATTAATAAACAAACATACATTAAGATGTCTACCCGATATAGAGCAATTAACAGATTAAATGTACGACATAAAAAAATGTAGAAGTCATTTTGCGTCAATCACATGTAGGATTAAAGTAACTAGTTTATTCAACTCGCCTCGCTTGAGTGCACGTTGTTGTTTGCGAACGAAATAACATATTATATTATATACTTCTGGATTAGGTGTATATCCTTTCCGTTCTTTTATTTTACTTTTGACAACTTGAATACTTATATTTATTTACTTTGTAATTTAAAAGTCGACATCAAAATTAGTGGTAAAAGAAAATATGTTAACCATATTGATTGGGGGGAAATGGTTGTTATTAACGGGTTGCTAGCAATATACCCTATCAAGTCGACCTCCACGACGTTACCGTACCATTTTCACCCGTTATAAAAAAAAACCTTAATAATCTTTATTCCAATTTACACTTTTAAAAATATTATAGATTTTTACGTTATAAATGAAGAAAAATATGTCTGAAAGTAAAATATTATTTTATAAACATTGTCCACTTCCATACAAAATTGTGACGGTAATGAACAAAATTAAAACGGGTAACTTTATGCCAGAGATATAAACACAAAAAGTATATTAATATTATGATAATTACCAAAAAATATATTAATAAACGTTTAAAATCACATGCATAATTAGTAAAAAAAAGCCTAATATTAAAACGGAAGCCCAACAATAAAAAAAGATAAAACCACAAATATACGAACAAATTGGGAAATAACACGGTGTTGTTATAACCCCCAATTATTATGTTAACCGCCACTAATAATTCAATTAGGATCGCCCGTGTGTAATCGACTTTATGAGCGTACGCCCATTCCGAGACAAAAAAACGTAGGGAGGGGCACACGATTTGAAATAATGGACACTGGTAATTATTTTTTTTATCTGTAAACTTACGATTGTGGACTATATTTCGTTCAATTTTATGCAAACAATGAGAAAAAAATCTGTATAGGTTTCTTTCTTATAGGACTAGCTGTTTTCCGCAGCGTTACTTGTGTGAATAAGTATATAAAGTATTCTATCTGATAAGTTTAGAGACAACGTACCCGTGTACCACATTTCATTTAAATCCGCTCAGTCTTTGAAGCGAGATTGAATAACATCTTTTCATATTTTTATTACATCTTTACAAACTTTCACATTTATAATGTTAGTGGTAATAATAATAATAGTTCAGTTTTAATATCTTCTTATACAATTATTTTTAAACATGAGATAAAACCATGCTCCATAAATAGGTAAATCCTGTAAATACTAAACAATGCTCTTCCCTATAACAACATCATCATCATCATCATCAGTCGTTAACTGTTCACTGCTCAATATAGACCTCTTGTAACAATGAAAAAGTGTCGAATATCCACAACACTGGTCAAATTACAGTACTTTTCGACGAAAACCACTGTGTTTTCTACACAGATAAAATAACTAACAGAATACCATTCTTAATCTATGCTCTTAAGTCTATTTGATTTATACACTGAATGAACTGACTGCAATTTACCAACGTTGCGTTTTTAATCTTATATCAATCAAATTTATGTCGATTGATTAAAACCAATTAGCTTGAGGCCAACTTTAAATTGGTACAAAAAAAGGGGCTATGACCCGTTCTAAGCTCAACCCAAACAACGCTTTTTGTCGGACTCGGCTGTTTTATTTTTTGTCCTTTGCCACGCTACTCTTTTTTTATTTGAAACTTGTAAATTTCTGTTGAACATACTCTATGACAGTTTTGTTTTTTATTTTTATTTTATTCACTCCGGCGTCGTAATTAAGTCAGGTAGTAAACAGGAAAATTATCAGAAGGAAATACCAACTAGCGGTATTCATCTACTCTGATAGTAGCAAGAGCTTTCTTTCAAACTACAGGATACATACTGATTATTTACATAATGATTGAGAATAACTAATATATTTACGTATTTGCAAAGTGAGTACAAAGATAAAACGAAAATCCTAATCCGTCAGTCTCATTCGTCTCAGACGCGACACGGGTCTATTAATGGGGCCAAGTGTCCCCGTTACTAGCAATATACCCCTATTAGGTCGACTTCTAACAATAAGGTGGTTGTTAGAAAAGACAGTGGCGATTTCTTATTTGTAACGATATGACAATTGATTTGTCTTTATGCTAACCTATCATCAATCACTGCCACCTCGCCAGGGTATATCAATAGCGCAGGCGGGCTTACAAATCCATTTTGAGGTCATAAAAAAAACTAGTAAAATTGTAAAATGAGAACAGTAAATAGTTTTTTTTTTACAACACAGGGTGCAAACGAGCTTACCTGATGGTAAGTGACTACCGCCGCCCATGATTTTATATAAATTATAAAATAACTATGTATTTACTGTTCTCATTTTATAATCGATATAAAACAATCTCATTATGCATTAATCAATTAAACAAACAGTATTTTTTTATTGAACATCTTGAAATTTACATTTAAAGTGATCACTCGGAGACAGCGATTAAGAAGGATGACGGTACTTTTCGTTATCATACACATAACTCAATTTGGAAAGTGTGTACTTGACCCTAAAATGACCGTCTGTTGGTTATAAGTGAAAGTATTTGCCTTGTCTTTCTAAATTTCCAAACAGACGTGAACTGGACAATGGGATTAACTAAACATAAGCAACGGACACTATCGGGCCCTTGCTAGCAATATTGGATCAAGCCAACCTCTACGTGGTTTCCTCAGGAATCCATGACGGACCCAGGTAAAACTTTAACGAAAATGACGATGAGTCAACTTCAACATCACCTATCATTCCTCCCTGGAGGAGAAAGGGATTGTCATTACTTATTGGAAGTCATTACTTATCCCGTTAGATCGAACAGGTTCATTGCTAGCAATATTCCCTATCAAGTGGACCTTTACGCAGTTCCCCCTGAAAACCATCATGGCGGAGCACCAGTGAGAGATGATTGGTTAGGATGAAAAGGCAGGTTAATTAGCCCACCATGACAAATTGACAGTTAGCCCATCATGAACCACGTGAAGGTCGACTTGATAGGGTATATTGATAAAGGGACTAATCTTCCTATTACTAATAATTCCTTCCCCCCATCATGATGAGTTAATCAATCTGACTTCACGCCCATCTGACATCACTCAATGGCGCCTCGATAACGTTAGTAGGGTTAGTATTTCGTTATCATCCCATAAAAAAGATGATCCCTTATTAGTACCCCACGTAAACCAATAACAACTAAGATAAGGTCACCATTCCATTTACATACAATAAAAACATGTTTCTTAATATATACTGACAAATTAAAGAAAAAGTATACTCTGTGATGTTCATAGGCATAACAAGTAACAGAAGACAAAGGGAACTTAAAGGGATAGGCAGGACCGTCTCTCTTAAAACATCACTAAAAGCCTAATTGCGATCGCCAAACTGCCTGGCAAGCGTAGCAAATACCAGCAAACCCCTTCTTATCGAGGAGGCCTATTTTCAGCAATGAACAGTTAACGGCTCATATGTTACGATGAAATGAATAAGTAAGGATTTTACAGGAATGCATTTCACAGTTAGAAGTCAAAGTAGCCAGATCTCGCTTTTAAAATTCAAACAAATATAATGCACACTCGATTGCTGAGCTACAGAAAACAGAGGTTATCAAACGTAACCCTTCACAATACATCAAATATCATCACGACAACAATATTCAAAGGGGCCGACATATCATATATTACGAGGTCACTCTGTGAACCGAACCTTAGGGTCTAGATTAAGCCCGCATTGTCGATAAAAGATCGCAGATACCAACAAACAGTTCATGTTTTATTGTTTATTAGATGTCTCCGAGATGGGGAAATGATACTGAAATGGTTTTGATCTATCGAAGCATGGGGAAAAATCTAGAGAAACAAATACACAATGTATGTGTTTAATGTTTCGTCTCACAGACAA